TTTATCATCTCATAATACGTTCTAATATTCTTAATTAATAATATGAACATTTCTCGTGTTTGATGACTTTCTTCCTCCCCGCGTTTTGTTTTCCACGCGTCTCTCTTGTATGGTATATACCCGGCTAGGTTTGGGAAAGAAAACGTTCCTAGGAAATATTACTCTTATCCTATTTATAAAACATTTTAAATATATTTTATATAGATCAAGAAAAATTTTAAATTATATTAACTCTTCATTAAAATATAACGGCTTTCTAATTTTATCCCTATTTAATATCTATACCTTTTAAAAAATAATTATCTACACTATAATAAATGAAGAATAATATAGTACATTTATAGTAAAACTTTAATGAAGTAACTTATAAATAAAACAAAAAAAGTTTCTCTTTTTACCTTATAAATAGGACCAGAAGAGTATGTCATTATCCTTGAACCATTTCTTTTTTTCTTTTTTAAATACTCTTTTAAAGGGTGTTTGGATAAAGTTAAATCATGATTTAAAGAATAGCTTCTAGAGAATAAATTTTATGAAAAAGTGATTCTGATAAAATGAGAGTGTTTGATAATTGTTATCAGAAACACTTTTTATATATACAAATAACTAAAAAGGGTATAAGTTAATATAATAATTACATAAAAGATCTATTTTATAATACTTTTTAATTTGAAGGAATAAAATTGTTAATAATATATTTTTTATCAACATAATTAATAATATATAAGATAATTTAATTAATAAATAATTAATATGTGTATATATATTTATAGAAAAATAATTGAGGGGTATTAAAGTTATACTATTGTTGGGATCTACTCTGACAGGCACAATCATGCTTTTTAATTTGAGTCAGAAGAAAAATGAATTCTCTTCTCTTAAAACCATGATTTTAAATTAAAACCATGATTCCGGCTCATAACCATAATTTGTTGATTTTTTTTATTTGGTAAATTTTTGACCCAAACTATGAAATCATGATTTCAGATATTTGTCAAACAGTCTTATTTAATAAATGGACGGGAAAAGTGACTTGGATACTTCTCGGAAAAATAACATTAGAGACCAGCTGCCTTCAAGTTAAAAAAAGGTTACGATATTTAGAGCCTATTACTCTATTAGCAACAAAGACACGGCTAGAAAGGTGAAGCCGCGTGAAGATTAGCAAGCAAAGCGAGTCTTCAAATGTGCGTTTAATTTCAAGTTGGAGGGACCATCTTGTCTTCCTTTTTGTCTTTGACGCGTAATTTTCTAATTTATTGCACTTCCCATGGCTCTGCTTATGGCTAATGAAGACTTGGACACTCAGAAGTGGCCAAATAATAATAAAATAAAATTAATCAAAGCAGCTGGGTTGGGACATCTCGATATTGCAGAAATGGCACGCAGCAAGCAAATTGAATCAATAAAATATATTAAGATTTCCAAATCCCTTTCACTTAGACCATCACTTATCACGGAGAAATGTAAATGTGTCAGACTGCGCGGGTTGTCCTTTGCAGACAAGTAATTCTACCTCCATTGTGATGGGCCATAAAATTGAGTTTTCCATCTGTTTATTTTTTTTAATTTTTTTGGCCAAGAAATTTTCCATGTTATTTGATGATTTTTCCTCTGTTTTGCCAATAATTATTATATTAGTAATAATAATTTTTCATTATTATTTCATTTAGAGGAATAAAGAGCGCATGGTGAAATTATGGTTAATTTAGACTAAGTTTGATGACTTGTATGGAGGCATTCTAATGGTGACCTTTTCCCTTTGAGCTAAGATATGCGTGTGTATCTGCAGCATGAAAATAATTAAAATTGTTAATCTCTTATTTTAATTACACTTATTTTTATCTATTTCTTCAAATTAGTTTTGATTTATCATTTATGAAAGCAAATGGAAACATTTTTTTTTCCCAAATTTCAGCTCGAGTGAGGATATTCTGCTGCCCCAATAATGCAGTCACATTCACATTTTTCTTTTCTAGTTTGTTTCCGGGCAATAATTTAAGGACATTTCAAAAAAAAAAAGAAAAGAAATGCTGAACGACCCAAGATTAGTAAGCAAAGACTTATCATGTTAATTTTTTTTAATGATTCTTTCGTCCTTAGAGATGATTTTCTACTTTTCTGGTCAAATTAAAAAAAAATTTAATGAACTCAATTTTAAAAAATTAAGGTTATAAAAATTTTAATTTTTTAAAAATAAAACTCATTAAAATTTTTGAAAAAAATATTAGAAAAAAGAAGCTAAAAATTACTAAATATCAAATAAAGAATGTTAACAAAAAATTTGTCATCATTTATAAATTTAACGTTATCAATACAAAATAAGTTGCTCCTACTAAACCTAATTTAAAATTTAATAATTTTTTAACTTTTTTTAGTCATTTTTTTCAATTTTTTTAATCCTTCTTTTCTCTTCAATTTCCTCGCCGCAAAAGTCATACCTAGCAGATTAGCTGTGATTTGTGGGAGATGGTGCTACGCAATTTCTGAGTTCAATTTGGAGGGACCTTCGCCCGGAATAAATAATACATCACCACACCTAAAACGAAGAGTTAGGTGTTGGAAGTCATGTTGACTCGAAATTCAAAATAGGAAAAATCCTTTAAAAAAATTCCGAATTTAAATAAATCTTTTGTCATCTTTTTTTTTTTTTGACCTTCTTTTGTCATCTTTGCAGACTTATAGGATAACGAATCTTTTGATGGCAGTGACCATATAGTAAAATACAATCATCCTAGTTTGTTTCTTAGCAATATTTTAAGGACGTCTAGGGAAAAAATGCCGAAAAGACCGAAGATATGCTAATTTTTTAAATCACCCTTGTCATATTCTACTTTAGTGCGTTCACAAGCACTTTGGTACAAGGGTTGGGTTCCCCATCAAGCAGATTAGCTGCGATTTGTGGAAGAAAGTGACCACAAAGTTCAATTTGGAGGGACCTTCTTCAATAAGTAATAGCTCGGCACCTAGAATTTACGGACAAGGGGAAGGGGGGAAAAAAAAACACAGACGAAACTCCCCGCCTAAATTTACGGACAGGGGAAAAAAAAGCTCCCCTACCTAAAAGGGCTCGGTGTTGCCGTGTTGGGAGTGGGACTTGTGTTCACATAAAATACAAAATAACTCGTATTTTTATATTAGGTTAAAGTTATATTCAGTAATATATCTAATATTTTAAAGTATTTTTTTAAAATATATTCAGCATTACCTTAAAATATTTTTTAGATATATCTAACATCATAAAATATTTTTTGGTATATCCAGTATTAAGATAATTTTTTTTTAAAAGATGCTGCATGTAACTGAAAAATACGGTACTAAATATATTGCAAGATATTTTAGGGTATTAAATACACCCTAAAAAATACTTTGGAGTATTAGATCCGTCTTAAGTCTTAACCCTCATATATTATAAGTAAATTTTAGATTAAAAAAAGTTAGATATAAATGGATCTAATTAAAATGTTACAAAAAAAGATGTTTTACATTATTTTTTAAATATTATCTTCTATAGTTAGTGTAGAAAGTATGGTCTAAATGACATCTTCTTTTTGCCAACCTAAATGACATAATTTATTCTAGTACTAATGAGATTTACAACCCTTTTTTTTTTTAATCAATACAACTCCAATCTAATCAAATATGCAAAAAGTATATTATAACATTATGGGAATGTTGATTGTTCCACGAGAGTATCTTTCAATATTTTTATTATCTCATAATACCTTCTCTTATTCACGTTTTTGATAATTTTCTTGTTTCCTGCGTTTTCTTTTCCACGCGTCTCTTATTTGTGTACTGCTAGGATCGGGAAAAAAGAGAATACTGCTAGGGAATATTGACAAGATTATATAAGCAGCTCCTGATCATACAAGCAATCAAACTTGCTTCCTCACACTGAAGTTACCAATTTGTTTCCGAATAGAATATACTCTTATTTGTGTATGAATAAGTGAGAGAGAGAACCATGAGACAAAGTGAGCGAGGGGGGAAAAAAAACCATGAGAGACATGTAATTAATTGGGATTCAAAATAAAAAATGCATTAAATTTTTAGGCACATACAAAATGTTACTCATATATAAGATCAGCGTTAAATAAAAAAAAATGTTACTTATATGACAGGAAGGAGTAGTAGCTTGTTTCACTTCACCGTCAACCTCATCCATCTTCCTCAGTTCCTCCATTGTAGCTCTTTTCTACCCCTCTTCTTGGCAGCAAGAATGGGAGATGAGGATAAATGTGTCTTTTATCTCATTTTTGTTTGAATAATATACTTAACATAAATTTAAAACTTATTTTCAATCTCAACCCCAGTCTCTTCTTTTAAAATTCAATCCAGCGAATAAAACAAGGTCATAGTGGGATGAATCTTTTGATAGTAGCTAGTAACCACGTAATAAAATATAATTAGCCTTGTTTATTTCCTCAAAGGACGTTTCAAAAAATCATCTAAGGACTGAAGATTAGTAAAGAAAGATGTGCAGTTTGATTTTTTTTTTTTAACATTATAAATCATGTGCTTTCTTAGATGATTTATTTTATTTGTAAATTTCAGGTATATCACTAAAAAAAAATTCAGGTAAAAATATTATATATAAATGGATTTAATTTAGATGTGTAGAAGAAATAGGCAAAATATATTTTACATTTTTGCAGATATTGCAGGGATGGTATAATAAGCAGGTTAAATTAAAAAAAAATAGTAGAAGTTTAGGAAAATAACAATATTTTTGTCTGAAAATAACATTTACTCATTTAGGTTCTTAAATTTTTAAAGACTAAAAAAAACAATAAATGAAACTTCAATCAACTGCGTGGGCCTCCTTTTCTTGTCCTGCTATTATTGCAAAGTGACAAAAACATACAGTATCTTATTTTACTAGCTTTTGAAATCATATAAATCAAGCCCGCCTATATCATTTCATCTGCCTTGCTGTGCAAGTTTGCGAGCATTTAATTTCACTGTTTTCAGAAATATCACTCATTGCCGAAGAGATCATGGCCGAAGCTCTTCTCTCTGCTGTTTTCAATGTGCTTTTGGAGAGGTTGACGCCTGAGCTGACAGATTGGATCAACAAAATCGGAGGAAAGAAGCTGGATCACAAGTTACTTAATCATTTGAAGCCAGCCTTGATTGCTGCAAGAGCTGTGCTCCTTGATGCTGAACTCAAACAATTCAGTAAGGGTCAGCCTGTGAAAGATTGGCTGAATGAACTCAAAGATTCTGTTTATGACCTGGAAGACTTGATGGATGAAGTTTCCACCCGAGCTGCCACTCAGAAACAGGTGCGCTATTTCTCCTTTGCTTCTCTTAGTTTGCGTGATACAAGCATGGCAAATAAGTTAGAAGATGTGATTAATAGAGTTGAAAAACTTGTGGCACAAATAAACGCCCTTGATTTGAAGAAGAGCACTGGAACGGATCCGGAAACTTTGTCATGGAGGCCTCGAGATATGGCTTACGTGGAAGTCTCTGAAGTGTGCGGAAGGGAGAAAGAAAAAGAAGATATAATTAAGCTGATGTTTAATGGTGAGGGTGGTCCGTTGTCTGTAATACCCATTGTGGGCATGGGCGGGCTTGGGAAGACTACTGTAGTTAATTTAGTTTATAATGATGAAAATGTGAAGCAAGAGTTTGATCTTAGTGTATGGGTTTGTGTTTCTGAAGCATTTGATCTTTTAAAAATAGCACAAAATATGATAAAATATATCAGTCCTGATTCTGATTGTAATAATATGGATTTGAATCTTCTTCGATGTCGTCTAGCAGAGAAGATAAAAGGGAAAAAGTTTTTAGTTGTTCTAGATGATTACTGGAATGAAAAATTCACTGATTGGAATACTTTGAAAAATTTGCTTCAAAACGGAGTGGAGGGATGTAAAATTCTGGTCACAACACGCATAGAGCATGTTGCTTCCATGATTAAAACTATCTCATCATTTTATCCCCTAAAAGGCTTATCTGAAGAAGATTGTTGGTCAATTTTTGCTGCACATGCTTTCCATTCTAGAGATTCAAAGGTGAATTCATGCCTAGAAAAAATTAGAAGAGATGTTGTTAGCAAGTGCAATGGATTACCTTTAGCTGCAAAAGTAATTGGGGGACTTTTTCGATCACGGCCTGACTTTCAAGATTGGAATAGTATATTAAAAAATGGCTTATGGGATTCATCAGACAATGAGATCATCCCATCTTTAAGAGTCAGTTATTATTATCTCCCTCCACATCTAAAACAATGCTTTGCTTATTGTTCTTTATTTCCAAAGAATTATACATTTGTTAAGGATGAATTAATCATGATGTGGATGGCAGAAGGTTTTTTGAGGCCGTCAACAAGGGACTTGACTTTAGAAGAAGTTGGTTATGAGTATACTGGTGATTTAACTTCAAGATCATTCTTTCAACCCTTACCCAAAATTCACCAGTACATCTCACATGGTGGGTATGATATAAGTGATAGGTGCTTTGTCATGCATGATCTCATTCATGACTTAGCAACTCATGTTGCCGGAGACTTCTACTTTAGATTAAGGGAGAATAGAAACGAAATTGGCACCATGACGCGCCATTTGTCATGCAACTTTCAAAATTGTCCAGGCTCAGATCATGAGGTTTTCCAAAAATTAAAAGGCTTACGAACATTTATAGGATTTAATTCCTATATTCCTGGGCCTTTTGAAAATGCTTCTCATATTCTATCATCAAACCTGAAGTACCTGCGGACGTTGTCACTTAGCCAACTGCATGCTTTAAAGATAGTTCCTGAGTCAATTGGAAAATTTGTCCATTTACGCTATTTGGATCTATCTGGCACAGGCATTGCAAGTTTGCCTGATTCAATCTGTAAATTGTATAATTTACAGACATTGAAGTTGTGTTGTTGTACATCTCTCCTGATTCTACCAAGTGACATGCAAGATCTTGTAAATCTGCTCTGTTTGGATCTTTCGTCATCAAGTATTGCAAGTTTGCCTGACTCATTGTGCAAATTATCCAAGCTGCAAACATTGAGGTTGAAATGTTGTCAGTCTCTGGAGATGCTACCTAATGATATGCAAGAACTTAAAAAGTTGCGACATCTCGATATTAGAGACACTAAATTGAAGGAAATGCCGAGGGGGTTGGGTAAATTAAAAGATTTGCAATTTTTAAGTGACTTCATTGTTGGCAAAGAGCATGAGACGGGAATTACGGAATTGGGAGGAATTTCAAAATTGAAGGGTTGGATTGTAGTTAGTAAGTTAGAGAATGTCAAGAACGAAGATGAAGCTAATGGTGCAAGAATGATGGAGAAGGAGCAAATTGAAACTTTAACATTATCATGGTCGGATTTTGGTGCTGTGGAAGATTCAAGCAGTGAGAGAAAAATTTTGGCCAAACTTCAACCTCATCGGGATTTAAAGCAATTGGAAGTTAAATATTACAGGGGCACAATATTTCCAAATTGGTTGGGAAGTCCTTCCTACCATAACATGAACTCGTTGCGACTAGAGAATTGCAAAAATTGTTGCATGCTTCCCCCTTTTGGACAGCTCCTTGCTTTGAAGGAATTATATATTATTGGATTAGAACGTGTAGAAAGCATTGGTGAGGAGTTTTTGAAGGCTGATGATTGTTCTTCCATGATACCATTTCCATCCCTTGAATATCTTTACTTTTCACGCATGGCATCCTGGGAACAATGGCTCTCCACTGACATGGAAGCTTTCCCTAAGCTTCGAGAACTCAGAATAACTTCCTGCCGGAAGTTAGTTGGAAGTCTACCTTCCCAGTTGCTTTCTTTAGAAACTTTAGATATTAGACTTTGTTCATTGTTTTCTTCTCCTATTCCGAGGTGTCCCAAACTTCAGAAGTTTGACACATTTGGAAGTGAAAATGTGGCATGGCAAGAGCCAGAGTTACCTCATGAACTTTCCGCTCTAGATATTTCAGGATGCCGGATGTTGGAATCAGTGTTGGAGGCACTCGCTAAACATTCCCATCTGCAAGGATTAACTATCTGTGACAGCCCCAATATTTCAACTTTAATGATTCATTTGCCCCAGTCATTGCAAGAATTATGTATGTTCGGTTGTGAAAATGTTGATTTTGTGATGAGTTCAATCGCTCCTCTCCAAGCCCTCCAGTCTATTTGTATTGGGAGATGTAGTTTTGTGAAGTTTATGTCGGACGACATGGAAAGTGTCCTCCCAAATTTAAGAGAGCTAAGCATATTGTATGTTGACAAGATGGAAAAATTTCCAGAAGGGGTGCTTGTGCCAAGTTTGAGAGAACTTCATATTGATGGGTGTAACATGGAGTTCATAATGTCCCATCAAGCAGCGTGGCACCTCCTAAGAAATATCACTCACCTTAGAATTCAAAGTCCATGGGATGAAAGTTATGTCGTCAAGTGTTTTCCAGAGGTGTGTTTTCTTCCCACCAGTCTCACCACTTTGGATCTCAGTTTCTTTTCGAACTTGGAGACATTGAATTGCACGGCACTTCAGCACCTAACCTCTCTCCAAAAACTAGATATCGCATTTTGTGAGAAGCTGGACAAAATGTCAGGGGAAAAGCTGCCTGCTTCTTTAAGAGAGCTTACCTTCTTTGCTTGTCCGTTGCTTAAAGAAAAATACCACAACAAGGATGAACAACTTTTGCGCCAGATATCCCATATCCCACTCATCAAAATGTTATGAGATACAATCATCCACGAGGTATTTATATGTCCACAATCTTGTTCCCAAGTATTATGTTGTGCTTGTTCATATAAATGCATCCAGAGACCATTATGCCTCCATATAAATGTTTCTCAATATTAATTTTCTTACATTTCTGGAACCGCTTCTTACCGTTGGTTAACCTTTTGGCAATTTTATATGATATTAACAAAATCATTTGTTTTGTTGTTCTTCGGATTCCAGCACGCTCTCTTCCCCTCTCTGTTTTTTAAAACCTGCTTTAGCTATTTTTCTTTATCTTGTCTTTTGGTTTCTTTTTCATTGTGTCTATATATTAATACAAATATATTGAGAAAAACAGCATGATTACCATCTTAAGATATATTTAAATAATTGTTTTTTAAGAGATTATTGAGCACCAATTACGTGCGAGTTTTTTAAAACCTGAACTGAAAAATGCTCCTTGCTGATTTGCATCTTGACAAAATCATTTAAATGAGCTCGAATGATGAAAATGAACAACAATTCCAATTGATTTTGGTATTATTTGTGTTTAGTTTATGTTTCTGTAATATAACATGTTGTATATATTTAAATAGTAATTTTATAATCTGTTTGTGTTAGTCTCCTAATGAAATTTAGATGACTATAATTTGCAACTTCATGAATTAAAATGAGGTAGCAATCTCATGTGTTTATATTAAATTAAATTATTATGAATATTTGATGACAGTATATAATGATGCAATTCTAGAAAACATTTGATGTGCTTCGGAGCATTAATTCATTACCGTAGCTACTTTAATTACGTATTCCACACTGAGACATTAACGATCTCAACGCTGTCCATTATATTTACAATTTCATTACTCCAAATATTAGTTTAGTAATCCACTTGGTCTCAAATTTATGCAGGGACGAGGCTTCAAAAAGTTTTGTTTCTGCATCAGGTGTTTTGTGGCTCACACATTATTCAATCATGTAATGAGAAATTATTCACAAATAGTAATCATGAAGGTACCCTTCTTGACAAGTTTCCATCTATATAACAGATACCATTTCTTTCTCTGTTTTTTTTTTTAATAGTTTATCTTAGTTTGATTGAATTTTTTCTTCTTATGGGGTTGTTGCAGATAGAGTCCAAAATGGTCAATTAGTTCTAACTGATAAAGGAAACACAGAGTGCTTCTTACTTCTTCTCAAAGTGTAGTGCTCTAATTAAGATCCTTCATATATTCATTTCTACTCTGAAGAGGATTAAACTGAACCAGAGCCTTTTGATTTCTTCTTTCTCTGGTAATCTGCCTGTTCACTTATTCCGTCATATATTTTCTTTGGTTTTGATTAACTTATTATTAGCAAGTTACTTGAGGATAATGGATTGCCATTTCCATTTTTTTTAATCTCTTGTGCTGTCTCTGAACTTCCCTTTCGTATGCTTAAAATGCAGCACCAGTAAGAGGGATGGAAAGGGATTTGCAGACTTGAAACTGGACTAAGAAGAATAGCTCATTAAAATCTGATGAAGTCCATCATCTTGGCTAGCATCTTGACAAAAAATTCTCTGATTTGTTGGGAGTGTCCTTTGTCTGATTCGTCTGCATCAATTTTTTTTCCACTTTTGAAGATACTTGTTGGGTGACTGTGTGCTACACATCTGTACATTGTTTTCCTTTATTTCTTTCTAGGTTTGGTGTGTGCATGATAGGAGGATGAGTTATGTATAATGTATTGTGAATATTCATTACTTATGAAAATTCTCAAGCTTCATGCTTAGGGAGAGGATGTAGGATTCAATTTTTTTGAATCTGAACCTCTATATATCGTGGTGTCATCTTATTTTATTTTCTTTTTATAATTTTGAATCATTAAAAAAATCATATGTTGAAAAGTAAGTAATTACGTACATCACTTTCTTCAATGAAGTGGACAAGCTTGTCATGTTAAAAAATATCTAACATGGAGCAGCCATCCTAAGTTCTAAAGAAAGAGCTTTCAATACCAAAAGCGTGTAAGGCAAACCTCTAGAATCTAGATTAGTCAAAAGTTTATTGGGCTCAAGATAGTTGTATGCACCACGCCAATATTTATTAATATAGAAACTAAATATGAGGATATTAAAGAAATTAGCTAAGTTAATTATTATTGTAAATTTTTTTTAAATTACTCCTCCGATCCTTAATGTAAGACCCATTTAACTAATTTGATTAAATTAAGGAAGTTAGGTAAGTTAGTTAATTATAAGAAAAGTGACACATTTTTCCTAAAACACCATAATCATCTTTTTTAATACCTCCACTCCCTCTTCTATTTGATTATGGTTGAAGGAGTATCTATAGGAGTAATTTAGAGAAAATTGATAAATATGATAAATGGGTCTTATATTTAGGACCAAAACCAACTCAAAAATTGGGTCTTATATTAAGGACCGGAGGAATATCATCTTTAATTATATATATTAAATCATTTATAATGATCCTTTGGAGATAATTTCTTATACTTAATAAATATATTTTTAAAAATAAAAAATAAAATAAATTGAGATCTTGTGATTTCTCACTAATTTTTATATTAGGCATCGGAGACAGTAATACAAAGCAAAACTAAACTCCCATAAACAAACACAAATCTGTAACGCAGCACGCCCAACGCTGTAGCAATATTGTTGCACATAGGGGGTGTTTGGATAAGGCAAAACCATGGTTTTGAGAATAACTTCTGGAGAATAGATTTTGGAGAGAATAGATTTTGAAAAAATAACTTTTCTGAAAAAGTGATTCTGATAAAGTGAGAGTGTTTGGATAATTATTGTCAGAAGTACTTTTTGATATGTAGAAATTACTAAAAAGGATATAAGTTTAAATAATAATTACATGTAAGATATATTTCATAATATATGTTTATTTGAAGTAATAAATTTGTTAATAATATATATTTTGGCAACATAATAAATAAGACATAAATAATATAAATAATAAAAAATTAATGTGTATATATATTAATAATATAATTAAATATGTTTTTAGGAAAATGATTTATTTTGCCAAAAAAATATTATTATTTCTTAAAGATGAAATCCCATAATTTTTTTTCACAAAATTAAATAACCACACAAAAAAATTTCATATTAATTGTCTTAATAATAGAGGTTGTAACAAAATATATTTGTCCAAGTAGTTTTTTTTAACAACACATTACATTATCTAAAAAGAAAAAAGGAAATAAGAAAGACATGGCTATTCTTGTATATAGTGAATAATTTGATCTCTTATGGAGTCACGAAGTGGAGCCATCTCCTAACACATATTTTTACTAAAAGCTTTTATGAGAAAAGGTGAATTGAATGTTAATAAATATAAGAAGAATAAATAATTCTAGATCCTATTTTGTTCTTGAAGTTTAAGAATCATTTGTTTATATTAATTTTTAATTTTAAAAGTAATTTCTCTTCACTCTTTATATATTTGTATCACTCAGATTAGGCCAAAGTATAATTAATACTTAACCAATTTTTGAAATCAAACCCTCATGAGAACATTTGAATCAAATTCAATTGGATTTCAATTGGTATTTATTCAATTTAATATTTAAGTTTCTAATTCGTTTATTTTTTCCATTGTATTCTTTGATACTCTACTCATCACGTACATACGGTGTGAACAATCTCCCTCCCCAACAGTTTCCATTGACGAGGGGATAACCGGGTCTTATCTCTCTCTCTCTCTCTTCTTTTCTTTTTTTAAACATTAAACGACAAGCAGAGCTCGAGAGTTTTAAAACATCACAATTCAGCAATTAATAGAAACTCTTGGCATATTGCCACAGTCCTTCTGAAATTGGGTCCGACAAGCATTTGGCGGCGTCTAGAGCTCTTGATTGTCCTGGGTCAAACCTTGAGCCAATCTGGCAAGAGTATCTGCGCACTTCAGGCATTCTCTGTAATAGTGAATAATTTCCAAGTCCCACGTAGAAAAGATCAGCGCTCGAATCTCTTGTATCTCATCCTTTAGTTTATGATTCAAGCCACTATCTGACAGCAGCAAATGTATAGCTTCAGTTGAATAATCTGTTTTCTGATGTGCGAAGGACCGGCGAGCGAAGGTTTCTTCAGAGCGAAGCGCCGAGAGTGAAGGACCGAAGCTCTGTTTTATTCAGAGCGAAACCGAGAGTGAAGGAATAATAATTGACGCCTGCTCTTGTTACTAGGCCTACCACCAACGATCAATAATCTGAAGGAAGAAGCAACTCCAGATGGCTTTTTCCCAAACCAAGGTTTTGGGGGCCAAAACCATGATTTCCCCAAAACCATGGTTTCTTATAAGAAAGAAAATCAGATTATCCAGTTCTAATAAGAGTTATGAGTTTTATCCTATTATTCTCTGGGGTCATATTTATAAGTTTTAAATTTAAAAAAGAGTGCGAGTTTTAATTTAGATATAGTCTTAATTTAGATGTGTCTTAATATTTAATAAATTTTTTCAATTTTGGTTTTAATTGTTACTCCTCCGGTCTCTAATATAAGACCCATTTAACTAATTTGATTAAATTAAAAAAATTAAGTAAGTTAGTTAATTATAAAAAAAGTGATATATTTTTCCTAAAACACCATAATTATCTTTCTTAATACGCCATCTTCTTCTTCTACTTGATTATGGTTGAGGAAATATCTATAAGGGTAATTTAGAGAAAATTGATAAATATGATAAATGAGTCTTATATTTAAGACCAAAACTAACTCAAAAATTGGATCCTATATTAAGGACTGGAGGAGTAATATGTTTCCTTTGCTACATATCTCTCTCATTACATTTCTTCACACATTATTTTTTATTATTTTTCATTTATTATAAGGATATATTTAGTGTCT